ACAATAGGATCTGCCAACGAGCTAATCTTCCAGATAATGCAGACATACCCATTAGATATTTCAAGGGATCAAGCTTGGATATAAGTCAAGTAGTATGATACAACATATATTGCCTAAGCCTTCGGGTAGCCCATACTAAAGCGCAACACAACTTTTCAATGGGTGAGTATCTAGTCTCACATTCAGTGAACTTCTTGCTGAGATAATAAATAGCCCTTTCTTTCTTCTCAGTTTGGTCATGTTGCCCCAGCACACACCCCATTGAATTTTCATAAACTGACAAATAAAGGATCAATGGTTTGCCTGAGATTTGTGGCGCTAAAATTGGAGTACTTGAAAAATATCTCTTCACTGCTTCAAAAGCTCTTTGACAGCCCTCATTCCAGTTTCCTGAGTTATTCTTGCGAAGAAGGCGAAATATGGGATCATATTTTTCAGTCAACTGTGAAATAAACCGAGCTATATAATTCAACCTCCCCAAAAATCCTCTGACTTCTTTTTGTGTTCGTGGGGCTGGCAAGTCTTGAATAGCTTTTACTTTATCTGGGTCTATTTCAATTCCTTTTTAGCTTACCACGAATCACAACAGCTTCCCAGATGTCACCCCAAAAGTACATTTATTTGGGTTGAGTTTTAGCTGGCATCTTCTTAGTCTTTTAAAGAGTTTTCTCAAATTCCCAATGTGTTCTTCCTCTATTTTGGCTTTGACAATCATATCATCGACATAAACTTCTATTTCTTTATGCATCATGTCATGAAATAACGTCACCATGGCCCTTTGATATGTTGCCCATGCATTCTTCAATCCAAACGTCATTACTTTATAACAAAACGTTCCCCACATGGTAACAAACGTCGTTTTTCCATATCTTCAGGGTTCATCTTAATTTGATTGTAGCCAGAGAAACCATCCATAAAAGAGAACAAAGAATTTCCAACAGTATTATCCACTAGAGTGTTTATATGTGGAAAAGGAAAATTATCCTTTGGACTAGCTCGATTAAGATCTCTGTAGTCGACACACATTCGAACTTTTCCATCCTTCTTCGGTACTGGGACGATATTCGCCACCCACTCAGGATATTTAGCCACTTTAAGAAACCCGACATCAAATTGTTTCTTCACTTTCTCTTTAATCTTTAGCAGCATCTCGGGTCTCATTTTTTTCAGTTTTTATTGTACCGGTTTACATTCAGGCTTTATTGGCAGTTTGTGAACAACCGATTATGTATCTAAACCCGACATATCTTCGTATGACCAAGCAAACACATCCTTGTATTCTCGAAGCAATTCTATCAAATCTTGTCGACCTCCAACTGACAGAGTGGTACCAATCTTTACTTCTCTCTTATCCTCATTTGTCCTCAAATTCAAAATCTCAGTAGGCTCCTTATGAGGCATAATCTGCTTATCTTCATTCTCCACCATTTTCAGCAATTCAGAAGGTAGTTTGCACCCCTCATCATCATCACAATCTTCGATCTCCCCTTGACATGTGGGCTTCTCGAAATCAATCTCCGGGTCAGAGTCATTAGCATTCATATTATTGATATCTGAGCTCCTGAAAAAAATAATGAAAGAGAAGTTATATATAAATATATACATATGGGAGGATCTTTTCCCATATAAATAAATAGAAATAAATAAATACATACATATATACAACAAAGAATGAATGAATGAAAATAATGCATGGGAGAATGTTTGCCATTTGGAACTAACAGAATGCATCTTTTATTGAAAGCAAGAAAAAAACAAACAGCTTAACCCTTTACATAAAATCACCTATTGCCCCAGGGTATGAACAACAGGGAGAAAGTTCCAGTGCATTACTCTGTAACAGATTTGTAAACTACAGGCAGTTCTTCCACGGTCCAATTGTTCAACACGAAGTCCGGCGGTGCAGGATAAATGCCCATAGCTCTCATTTCCTCAAACTCACCATCAGTTAGAACATTAATGCCTAAATCTCCCAAGGCATTCTCAACCATTGTCTCATTACTCCTTGAATTCCCTTGAAACATATGCCCTCCAGATATGAAAATGTTGCTCAATGGCGGGAAGATCATGGGTTCCCAGCTAAGGTCTTCACCAGCCAATCTGGCCTTTCTCATTTCCTGACCCTTCTTAATTCCCCTCATTTTATCCCTCAGAGTTGGCTGATATCCCAAACCAAACCGATCTCTTTTAGTAACAGGGCATATTGGATTCACCGGTCCTTATAACTGACTTCCTAACCCTTTTCCAACTTTTGCTCCTCTTCCAAGGGTCAGCTTAAGTCCCATTTTGGTACAATTTGACAATCTAGGATTTGGTATCTTCCTGCCTTCAGCCAAAAACATAGCATTGACAAACTCCAACGATCTGAAAGAACACTCGACCGCTTGCTCATCCACTTCAATGTACGGAGCAGTAGTAGAAACAGAAGCAATAATGCCCTCTTCAGCATGAATACATACCAACCTTCCATCAATCACAAATTTCAGTCTCTGGTGCAATGTGGACGGAACTGCACCACCCTGATGAATCCAAGGTCTTCCTAACAAATAGTTGTACGTAGGAATAATGTCCATTACGAGAAATTCCACTTCATAAGTTGCTGGACCAATAGTTAGAGGAACATCAATCTTGCCCAACACTTCTCTTTTAGTCCCATCGAAAGCTAGAACCACACTTTGGCAGGTTCTCATAAGCGTACTATCTAATGGAAGCTTCTTCAGAGTCACTAAGGGCATCACATTCAAATCCGAACCATTATTAATCAAAACTCGGGACAACACATGCCCTTTACACTTAACTGTGATATGTAAAGCCTTCTGACTACCAATCATCCCAGAAGGGATCTCATCCTCAGAAAAAGATAAAAAATTATCAGCTTGTAAATTAGAAACTAACCGGTCCAACTTTTCAATGGGCAACTCTTTCGGAACAAAATTCTGGTTCAAAACCTTTAACAGAGCATTCCTATGGGCCTCTGAACTCAAAAGTAATGATAAAACAGAAATACGGGCAGGCAACTTGTGTAACTATTCAACAACACTGTACTCATTGTGCTTCAGAAACTTCAAAAATTCTACCGCTTCACTCTCGGTTACTGGTTCATTGATAACAGTCTCATCTACTTTTATCTGAATATCAACCTTTTTCCCCTTATCAACCGCAACCTTCTTCTCATACTCTTTAGGTGGATTAAGAGAATAACACCTACCGCTTCTAGTAAAGTGTCCCACCTCATCTACTTCCTCATTCTTTTTTGTTACATTTCCCATCTGGCAATCATATCTCCAAGGCACTTGTTTATTTTCCCGATATGGGAATGGAGATGGAGGTGTAATAACCACTTTCGGAGCTACCTTTTCAGGTAATCGATTCTTGGGAGTAATGATTAGGGGACAACAAGCATTGTAAACTCCTTTAGACGATCCTTCTGAAGCGCAAACTTCCTCTTCCTCTTCTTCAGCAATCTTTTTAAAGAACTCAATTTCTTTACTGTCCATCATGTCTTGTACCAAAGATAGGAAGTCAGGACATTGCTGAATATTGTGTCCTTCACTGTTATGATACTGACATACCTCTCCACTGTTAAACTGTTCACCTATCAAATTGGGCTTCAATAATCCTACCTTGACCATCTGGCACCACACCCAACTCATGGGTGATACCACACCACTAACATTCCTTACAATTTTCTTTCTTTTCTCTTCAGTAATCGCGTTAACTCCTACCCCTGCATGGCTTGGCAACGGATTCTGAGCTATATTCGGTTGCTCACTGTCACCAAAGTTGATGACATTCCTCGTTCTTAAAGCTTGAAAAACCTTCTTAAACGCGGTACAATTCTCATTGAAATGCCCGGGATTCCCTGTATGGTACTCACACTAAGCACTAGCATCATACCATTTGAAAAAAAGAGGTTGCATTGGTGTCACGTGATACGGTGAAACTATATGCCGATCATATAAAATCTGAAACAATTCCTTATAAGTCATTGGGATGGGGTCAAATTGAGGCCTCTCTCTCCTCTGGTCCCTTGCCCCTTGTCTATTATCATTTTGCGTTGATGACCCTACTCCTTGAGGACGGGAAACAGTGATATTATTAGAATCGTACTGCCTCATATTACTGAGTTCGTTTTCCTTTTTCCTCGTTGATGGCCTCTTACTAGACTCTCCTCCCTCGAGTTTTCCACTCTTAACCGCCATTTCAATCATTTCTCCCGTCGTAACTACATCAGCAAAACTTCGATAAGGATTACCGATAAGATACGAGAAAAAAAGAGCCCTTAAGGTATTGACAAAAAGCATATTTATTTCCTCATCTTCCAATGATGGATGGACTTGCACCGCTACATCTCTCCATCTTTGAGCATATTGTCTAAAACTCTCGTTAGACTTCTTTTCCATTCCTTGAAACATCATCCTATTGGACCTAACATCTTTCACATGTTTGTATTGCTCAAGAAAGGACTTAGCCAAGTCTTTCCACGATTTAATATTAGCTCTACTCAGCTGGTTATACCACCGGATTGCCGAGCCAGTTAAGCTTTCCTGAAAGTAATGTATCAACAATTGATCATCCCCTATGTATCAGGTCATCTTTCTACAGAACATCGTGATATGAGCAGAGGGACACCTGGTACCATCAAACTTCTCAAAGTCAGGAACCTTGAACTTTGGAGGCAAAACCAAATCCAGAACTAGACTTAATTCCTTTGCGTCGAATCCATAGACACTAGTATCTTCCTTCATGGCTCTGACTTCTCTTTCTAGTTGTTTCTATTTCTCTTCCAGCTAATTGTTTTGGTCCTTCTTGGCTTCTTCATCAAGGTCCGGAACTTGATGATATTGATGTTCTTCCTGATACGAACTAGATCCAGGCTATACGTTAACAGAAGCACCGACTGGATTAATGTGCATCTTTCCGATATGAACAGGGGTCACTTGAACGTTCTGAGATTGTTCTGGGGTTAAACCTGGAGGATAAAGTGGGTCCTCAGTTACAGCTCCTGGTACAGGGCTTTTCCCATGTTATGGATTTCTTCCTTCCAACATACTCGCAAACTTGGCAAACATCTCCACTGTATATCCCCCTCATAAGGAACTATCGATAGCTCACTTGCTTGCCTCTGAAAATCTTGAACCATGGCTTCAAGCTCACTCACTTGTTTTTTCAGACTTTCAACCTCCCCTGGCTCGAGCTACCTTCCCTGTTTTGGTATCGTCGTAATGTAATCTCTAAACTTGAAATCTTCCCCTTCAACTTCTCATTCTGAGCTTGACTCTCTTGTAACTGCTGCTCTAAAGAATCATTTTCCTACGATAAAATCTTAACTTAGTGTCTGTTTCACTTGAGCTCTTCTTAACTCTCTCCGGCTACTCTTTTGAGGCTTACCACCTCTTGCCTCAATTCGACAGACTTACTCGAGCTAGAACCTGCCTGAGCTTTTACCATTCACTAATAAGTTGACCGAAGATCGTCAAAGTCTAGCCAAATTTGCTTCTCTACTTTTTCAATTCGATCTGCTCTACTCTTCTGAATGTTAATCTCCAATCCCTTTTGATACACTTCATCTTCTAGATTCTGTAAATTCATTCTCCATTGTCTCCGTTCTGCTTCGAAATCACGCTTAGCTAACTCTAATAGAGATGGCACCACTCTCAACTGTTCCTCCACCGGCTGAATATTTTCAGGATTCACTATCGAGATGTTGTCATTTACTCGACTGCTTCTCCACTGTTCGTACTCTTGAGATAACTCGAGATCATAAGTATAACTCGAGATTCTGTAAAGAAACTCAATCTCGCTCTCCACATCGGTAAAGTATAGCCGAAGAGATATTCTACGAAGCTCGCCACAAAATATCACCATCTCTGATATCCTTGAAGATGACCATCCATTTTTCTTTGGTGAAGCCCCTAGGCCATTCTTTAGAGAAAAAAATCCTTCAAAGGCGAAAACCCCTCTAGAAACACTCATCCTGGTGCTCTTTCAACATGTTTGAAATGACTCAGAATCCACACTAGCAGCAAAGGCGCACATCCTATAAAACGTCATTCTCATTCGCGCCTACAAGAACTCAAAGATCGGAATGTCTCAGCTAGAATAGCTGGAACAGGATCCACGTGCTTGTCTAATCTTTCAAACAGGTCAACGACTGATACGTCTACATATCCTAGCACCTTTGGAAAAATAGCGAGCTCATAAATCCCTAAAGCAAACAAGTCAAGCTTCTTTCTCTTATTAGGGTGATGAGCAATTACTTCTTTCAGAGCAGCCCAAGAGATGCACTCATTGTCTCCCTTCTTCTTAATGTTTCTGACTACCCAATCTTCACTCATTCCAGTCATCAATAGTAATTTCTTCTTAAATGAAGGAGTGACTGACAGCTTGGTATATACTCTATCCATATGGACCTCGAATAACGGAACAAAGCTTGATACTCCTCTATTGTTGGTGTCAGATCCACCCTACCAAATGTGAAACAGCTATAAGCCGGATTCCAGAACTGCGCCAATGCTCTAAACAGATTTCGGTCAATAAGAACATCCAGAAGATAAGGAATATCATCGTACAACTGATAAAACATCTCTTTATCGGCTGCTTCACATCTTCCCCATACCTCTCTTAGCTCACTCAGATCATCCTGACGTACGTTGAAGTGAGTGTAACCAAATAACTCCGACACATATCCAGGCATCACGCTGTCCCCATTAGTTAATTGGGACTGTTCCGACCACCTTAAAACATCCGCATTATCCTCAACCTCTTTTTGAACCGTTCGTTCCATATTACTGGCCTTCTATATGGACATCGATCCCAAATCAACACCATGTAATGGACATTGCAATGCAAAATAGAAAAAAAATAAAGCAAAGATAACAAAAGATCAGTTAGTAAACATAAAGCAATTAAGTCGGGATAATAATTTGTTCAAGAATCCTACCCACACATGCTGGCTACCCAATCATGCTTTTTCAGATCCTACCCAACATGATATCTACCCCCATGCTTTGTTATTCACAAAAAGAAATCCTAACCGCATGATATCTAATCCGCATGCTTATTCAAAAAAATAAACATAACCACATGATATCTAGTTCGCATGCTTGTTCGAAAAATAAACCTAACCGCATGATATCTAGTTCTCAAGCATTTATTAGAAAAACGAAAATAGATGACTCAAAAAAAGTTTTTCCTTGTGTACTCTCCTCACATGATTCTTAAGGTTCGGGTTTGGTTCAACCTAAGTTTAGGCTATACGTTCACTATATGCCGGGTTAGGTTCTAAAGTAATAGGTTCTCGAATTGTCATTGTCGATGCCCCCTTCGGCTGCCGAACCCTCAATCCTGGCCCATCACAGGCTTTAGGGGATCGAGTTCAATTTCGAGGGAACACACCTCCTTATGTCCATGCGAATACACTTAATTAATCGACTATCGGCCTGACTCTTTAAAAAAAATCCCCAGCAGAGTCGCCAAGCTGTCGAAATGATTTTTTTTTCTAAAAGATGAAAAAGCAAGATTTTGAAAACCATATTAATTTTTGAATTATCTCTTTTAATTTAAAAACAAATACAATTTAAAAACCTCTCGTTTCGAAAAAATTTGGATTTCCTTTAAGATCGAAAAAATACGGTTCAAAGAGTCGCCACCAATCTTTGATTAGGGTGTGATTGCGCACCCAAAAAAATGTTTGTTATTTTAAATAAAAATTAATTTTAATTAAAACAACAAATTAAGGTCTGCGTTACCAAAATCCGAGTTCGGGAGTCGGTTACATGCAGGGAAGGATTAGCACCCCCACAACGCGTTAAAACGGTACCTAGTCGATTAATTAACGTCTTTGCAATGAACTTTACAAATTCGAACTTAATTTAGCTTTTGATCCCATAAAACAAATATGTAAATTTTAAAAAAAAAATTCAAAAACACTCAAATAAATTAAATTAAAATTACCAAGTCGTTTTAGAAAGATAAAGAATGTTCAATTATTTACAAATATCAAGACCAGATCTTAAAGATATAACAACCTTTTCTCGATATATTTAAATAAACGAACATTTCCTTTTCTCTCGTTCACAAATTTTAGGTGACGAATCAATTTTTTGGTTTCACTTTCGAGATACACTTTTAATTTAAAATCGTCAAAACGACCCTCTAATTAGTTAAGACAGGCCACTCGAGACAATTTTAAATTAAAAGGGTATTACCCTTAGTTCGATTATGTAATAGGCCAAGTTATGCACGTGAGGCTATCATGTAAATTATGCAAAAAGTGGATGTCATGCCAAAATATTTAAATACCACAAATTATAACTTATATATATATATGTATTAATATGTAATGTACGAAAGTGACTTAAAATAATAAAAAAACATATTAACTCCAGAATAAAAATTTCACGAGATAACTATATTTAAGGACTAAACCATATTAAACAAAATTTTACTATTTTTAAATACAAACAAAGTAAGAATTAAAGTGTACATGCATATATTAAATGGTCAAATGTATGAAGAAATAAATCAACCTTTAGGACCTAAAAGAAACATGCAAAAATATAGAACTCTAATGTCTAAATGACAAAAACAAAATAAATAACATTTATGACTAAAATTAAATAAGCATGAAATACAAAGATCAAATTAAAACACAACAGATTTGATTCAAAGACTAAAACGCCAATTAACCAAAATTACATGCTAAATGCGAAAACAAACAACAACAACAAAAAATAACATAAACTGATGACCTAAAAAAAACATTTACAAATGTGAATATCAAATTAAAACTTGGAAATTTCGATTTAATGACTAAAATTAAATACGCGCAACAATTGAGAACTAAATTAAAAACAGAAAAGATTTTACTTGAGGACTAAAATGTAACATGCAAAAACTCGAAGACCGAATATGGAAACGAAAGAAAATAAATACCCTAGCATTTAGGACTAAAATCAAATGTGCATAAAAGATAAAGACCAAATTACGAAGCAAACAAGACTCGACTTCAGGACCAAAATGGAAATCAACAGCATACGCAATGACCTCAAAGTAATTAGCCCTAATAACCTAATATAAAACCTACTTTAAACTAAACCTAATCCTAAACTCATGCTAAGCCTAACCCTCAACCGTTTTTCCTCTTTCTTTCCTCTCCATTTATCTTCCATTCGACCGAACGGTTGCCATGGCCATCTTCTCTAAAGCTCAACAAACAGCTAAGCACTTAACAAACAACCTAAACGACCTAGAATCTCGACCCCGAAACCCACATGCAAACACTCGGTTGGCCTAAGAACGCGACCCCCGACGCTTGGCCAAGGTAAGCTCTTTCTCTCTCGCTCTTTAATATTCTGGGTTATCTTTCAAATGGTTCTTGTTTTAATCTTCTCTCAAAATCTTAATCGAATGATTTTTGGGCATTCTCACTTTCATGGCAACGAAACTTTGATGACTCTCTCTCTAGGCTTCGAATCACCCCTAACCACTGCCCCGCCGTGCTACATACGCTAAACCCCGAGACCCTTACACTCCGATCTCTCCACTGCTCGACCCCGAGGTAAACTACCTTGCTTCCTTTCTTTATTTGCTTTATTTTGGTATTGTTAAACTAAATCTCGCACTTCTTTCTTGATTAGTGAACCCACACAGAGAACAAATAGAGTCAACGAGACTCCCCCCTTTTTTGTGTTCGAGCAGTATAGGTAAGTCCCTTTCAAATTTTAATTTTAAAAACAAGCACACATGTATAAAACAAAAGAAGCGAACTGGAAAATTAAGAAAATTGGAGAACTCCTAGGAAAAATGTACCTTTATTGCTTTATCTATTTTTGAATTGTATGATTACACTGTGATTTCCTTTCGTATTCTCTCAACACTGCGAAATTGTTGATAGTTAATCCAATTTTCTCCTTTCGTATTCTCGTCCTCTCGTGATGGCCGATATATCCCTCGGTTAATACCTCTATTGGCTCGTATTTTTTTTTTTTTTGTCCGTCTCTGTCCTCTCTGTCTGTCCAATGT